CTCTAAATAACTTATTTCACGTATATATGATATTTAGGCTCGTTGGTCTCAACGGCAATGAAAAAGCACCAGGGGAGGCAGCCATAACCTCTGCCGCACTGAAGGGGGCGCACGTGAGCCCACAGGTTCTTGTTGCTACTGTAATTCTACGCAGAGACGGTAGACGTAACAACAAACTAGAGATGGCAAATCCGGATCATTTTACGGACTCAGGGTCTTCTGAGTCAGTCATTGAAGAGATCCGGATCATACGAGTCATTTGAGTCATATGAGTCAGCATGACCAAGACCGTAGAAATCCTATTGGTGAAACCGAAAAGTTGTTGCATTTCACGAGCATATTATTATTCCATATATTTTGAATATATATATATATTTGTATATATATATATATATATATATAATATCTGCATGTATATTTTCTATTTCGACATGTATATTTTATATTTTATTTTTATTTCTATTCTTGTATATTTTGTAGTTTTGTTTTATTGTAAAATGCCTTTTATGCTGCTGTAACAACAACAATTTCCCAATTTGGGATCAATAAAGTACTATCTATCTATCTATCTATTAAACTGACGTTATAAATAACCTCCACTACACAGTGTATTTTGCTTTAATAAAAAATGTTGATCACAAAAAAAAGGGTTATTTTGCGATTTGGCAAATCTGAGTCTGCTGTTGACTCGTGCATGAGGACGAGTCTGCTGGGTCTCTGGATCTGCTGCTATATACGGCTCCGAGTCCGCACGAGTCTGCTCTGCTGTGTGTTGCACACACAGTGAGTCAGGATTTGCGAATCCGAGTCTGCTGTGGACTCGTGCATGACGACGAGTCTGCTGGGTCTCTGGATCTGCTGCTATATGGTTACGGCTCCGAGTCCGCACGAGTCTGATCCGCTGTGTGTTGCAGCGAGTCAGGATTTGCGAATCTGCGAATCTGCGAATCTGCGAGTCTGCTGTTGGAGCCGTCGGCTCCTCTGAGTCCCCACGAGTCTGCAGGAAGTTTCACTGATCCGCGTCCCCTCCCCTGAGCCAAACGATCACTTCTGGCAGCTATCCTACTTGCTAAAGGGTAGGCAGGTGGACTGGGGTACGTTGTAATGTGATTTTACATGTTATAAAGAGAGTAGCGAGTGACGCAATTTATAGTTTTAATTTGTACGTCACACCAAGTGTGGGACTCAAGGACTCGGGTTAATGGAGAGGGGAGACTCGTCATGACCAGCTCATTTCTAGGATCCGGGTTAATGATCCGGATGAATCAGGACTCGCCCATCTCTACAACAAACTAGACTTTTGAAACTACAGGAAGATAAGGAGGACTTTTACAAAAAAGTAATAGAGATTGTTGTCCAGAAGGATAGCATGGACTTATATTCATCTTCAAGTCAAGGTAAGACCACATTTGTAATGAAAATGGGATCTTACTAAGAAAGAACAATCCAATATTTAGATTTTGGGTATCCTTTTGTTGAACGGTCTGTTTAAAATGAATCGAAGCATCAGACTAAAAAAGCTTTTGAAAATAACCGAATATTTCGATTAAGGTCAAAATATAATATTTGTAAATCTGACTCAGTGAGTCAGTGCCTCACCAGCCATGAACCTCACCGCACGTCACTGGTATATATGCAATGTGTTTTCAATTGTCAAAGTTACCTTGGTTGCTGATTGGCCAATGGTTACACAAGCCAAGTGTGTGGGCAAAAAACACAGAGATGTTAGTGTTTGCAGACCAGTTACATGAATACAAACATATATAACAAACTACAGGAGAGGGAAAACCCCCAAAAGCACAATAGGGTCTCTTTAATGTGTCTAAACTTTATACACAAATTGGTGTGCAAAAGTAATGTAAAGAAACGAGTAAAGTAACGAGTAAAATAACGAGTGACTTTATGTAGAGAGTAACGAAGTAAAGTAATATATAACTTTTTTTTAAAGTAATAGGTAATGTGTAATATATTACTTTTTTTGAATAACGACCCCATCTCTGGCAGTTACCTATAAAACAAAGTGTTTCCTGTCCTTTAAAGGGGACCTATCATGCAAAATGCACTTTTGTACGTCTTTTCTACATGAATATGTGTCCCCGGTGTTCCAGGGAACTCACCAAGTGTCAGAAAACACAACCCTCTCTATTTTCCTCCATACCCAAATCTCTAAAAAAGGGGCTGCAACGGATCTGATAAAAACTGATCCAGATTTGAACACTGTCCTGACGTCAGGACGGTGGCGCTACGGCTATTGGGCCAACTCCACCAATCAGGAGGAGACAGCCACGGCCATTGCCGTTCGAAAGCGCTGGAGACGCTGTAGTACATATGCCAGGCCTGTAGATGGTGCTGTTCTCACTGAATCAGCCCTTGCTAAAACAGAGTTAGAAATTGTCAAATTGAGCAAAATGAGGCATGGCTAAAATGCATGATCTGTTTGGTATTTTGAAAAAAAAAAAGTATAAATATCCCTTATATAGGTATGGTCCTACACTATATTATTCAAATATAGCATGATAGGTCCACTTTAAGTCGGATTCAAACCAATGTTGAACTGTTTATCCGAAAGTCACACCCAGATCAGGAATAAGGAACCCCATTTTGCAGATCTGCGTCAGACTCTTTATCCTTCTGTCAAGATGCTAACAAGTTTATTAATGTTTCTGATGGTTATGTGGTCGGCATCAGAGGGTAAAACCTGCAGAGCTCTGCTGCTGCTGTTAACCACTTCTTCACAGAAACGCTTCTTCAGTTCTCAGAAAAAGTAAAAATAAATCTGCAGAGATACAAAGAGGAACCACCATGTTGTTAACATGCATTAAAACTAGCCATCTTTACATTCTCAACTTCCTCTGTTGTGTTGCTGATGAAGAAGGCCTACAGTTACCTTCACTCTGAATAACCAAAGTCAAGAAATGCATCGAACATAAACATCAGATGTTACAGTTTTTCACTCTTTTTTATAACAACAAAAGACAAAAGAGATTTAAAAGCTAATCTCACACATGAACTCCACAGCCATCAGAGGAGAGATGGATGAGGAAGTGACTTCTCATTTATCACAGGATATAGCGACAGCAGGAAACAAACAAAGTCGCTGAGAGGCTGAGGCCGGGCCTGTTTGATATTGTATGACACGCTAAAAAGAGTACTTGCTGAGATCAAAACTCTGTTGAATTGTAATGTAGTTTAATGAAGAAAGCGCAGTGATCAGACATAGACATTGTAATGATAATAATCAAAGCAATCATAAATCTTGCGGTCATCAAAAAGTACAACGGCCCTGTGTCACCCTCTCTTCCACACACCGTGCATATCCATGTGACCCAAGCCAACCAATCAATAGTGATCAGATATCTTATATTAAAACAAAATGCATTACTATGTTTCATGGCTTTAATATCACTAATGGTGCTTTACTACGTACTGTTCCTTTAACTGAGAGTGATGAGTTCAGTGATTTAAGCAGCTCAGTGACGCTGTTTGAAGACGGGCAGATTCACAAAGAAGCCAAACCTAAACCAGACAGACTGAGAGTTGAAAAAAACTGTTCTCTGGTTATAAAGAAGGTCACAGAAGAGGATGCTGGTCTTTACACCGAACATAAGCATGAATCGAATAGAACATTTAGCAGGACTCGAATTGGACCTAAGGATGTGTCTAGAAGCTGATGAAGTGTTCTCTCTTCTCCATTATCTCTCTACGAGTTAACCTCCTCCGCTCAGTGTCAGACGGTCTGAGGTGTCAGAGAGGTTCTTTTTTAACCCCAGCAGAACGTGCAGGTTTTATTTCAGACTCTGTGTCTAAACATTGACAAACCCTCCATGTTCAGTGCGAGCAGGATGTATCTCTAATGTCTGGGTTTAAGTTATTCTTGAACTCAGTGACTTGTATCAAACCTTGTCATCAGACATTCACAATGGAAATCAACTCTGGCATGACCAAAGTGACTCAGACTTTATCTTTCTGACTTCCCTGTGACCTTAAGTTTGCCTGCAGATCTGCGTCAGACTCCTGTTGACCTCCAACAGACTCTTTATCCTTCTGTCAAGATGCTAACAACGCCTGTTTCTCCTGCCGAGGTGTGGAAGCCCCCTGTTCCCCTGCTCCGTCCAGGAGGACTCGGCTTCGTTCTGCAATATCTGAGACGGTCCTAACTTCCAACCACATGGTCCTTTATGCCTCGGTGGTCCCGCCACAGCTTTGGCCCTCCAGAGAGGTTCTTCATCCTCCTAGGACTCCCTCCTTCCTTTCTGACTTCCTGCGTGGTGGTCCAGCAAGTCTGGTCGACCTTCATCCCGTCCTCCACAGCTGCTCCTCCCATCTGGTCCCTCTATCTGCCCCCAGGCCATCCTCCTGAGACTTCCTGCCAGAGAGAACCAAGGACTCATCTCTGCAGTGTGCAGAACATGAAGCTCAGTCAGATAAAACATCTTGGAGAGTTGAGTGTAGCGTCCTATAGTCAGGTCAGAGAGACTGCTCTAAGAGTGGCACATCCAGAAGAGTCTGCAGTGTGTAGAGCATGAAACTATTTTCAAACAACATGAACATTACACCGGCTAATACATGTGTTTAAAAGTAGGCCATTCAAGTGAGTTTCATTAGACGCTCGCTGAGTTTATTAATGTTTCTGATGGTTATGTGGTCGGCATCAGAGGGTAACACCTGCAGAGCTCTGCTGCTGCTGTTAACCACAGCTTCACAGAAACACCCTAACCCTAACCCATTAAAACTAACCCTCTTTACATGCTCAACTTCCTCTGCTGTGTTGCTGATGAAGAAGGCCTACAGTTACCTTCACTCTGAATAACCAAAGACAAGAAATATATCAAACATAAAAGTTAGACGTTACACTTTTTTCACTCTTTTTTATAACAACAAAAGACAAAAGAGATTTAAAAGCTAATATCACACGTTAACTCAACGGTCATTAGAGGAGAGATGGATGAGGAAGTGACTTCTCATTTATCACAGGAAGTAGATGCTGAGTTCTAGTTAAAGAAGCAGCAGGGGAGAGACTCTGACAGTCCAGAGCCAGAGACTGAGAGAGAAGCACGATGTCTGAATTCAGAAGGATCATGATGTCTTCATTCCTGATGCTGCTGCTCCACTTTCCAGGTGAGGATGCAGAGAACACACACGGTTTACGACTGTTAATGAAAGGTAGTGAGGGCGTCTTTCAATTGAAATCGATGTATCCTTGGGCAAGATGCTTAACCCCAAGTCGCTCCCAATGGGGAACGGTGTGTGAATGATACCTTCTGTCGTGGAGTTTGAATCAGTTTCTACATTTAATATCCACTTTCCTCTATCGGGGTTGTGGGTTATGACGCGCCTCACTTTGCTTCCAAACTAACTTTGCAGAGATCCTTGTAGCGTTGAATCACATCAGGTTCATTCTTTGATCAAGACGACATACAAACATGAAGACAAACTTCCTCGCTTCAAAGTAACTAAAAGTTCTCCGTATCAAAAAAGAACAAAAAGAACAAAAAGAACACGGTCAAAAGACTCTACCGCTTCCTGTCTAATCACACCCTCAGCTGTGAACCAATGTCATGCCATATATAGACATACAGACATATAGACATGCACGTCATATCCGACAGCAAATAAGTGAGACTTAAACTAACATCTTTTAAAGCGTAGTGTGACTCACTAAAATAGATAGTTAAGAGTTTCCTCTAAAGCCTTTTAGTAATAAGACAAACATTCAAACCATAATGATGAAAGGGAAATGGCTCTAACCCCTTCATTGAGCAAGGGGCACATTGCTCTGTATGCATTGGGTGTGAATGGGTGACTTGTTGTATGTAAAGCGCTTTGAGGGGGTGAAAGACTGGATGAAGCGCTTTATAAATACAGTCCATTTACCATTTACCAATTACATGAAATAAAACAGCTTTAATATCACTAACGGTACTTTACTACGTACTGTTCCTTTAACTGAGAATGATGAGTTGTGTTTGTAACGTGGTGACTTTAGTGAACTCTTGGTCACTAAAACCCACATAGCAATACTCTTTAAAGTGATCGTCACACTCACTATGAACACTTCAGTTAGTTATGTGGATCTGTAATTAACTCTGGTTTGAATGTGTCGTTAAATGATTCATTAAACAGATCAACCAGAACTCTAACTCTTTACCTTTTTATATAATAAATCATTATTCTGTCAGCATTTATGACGTCTATATTTATTTCTGATTTTTTCCCCCAACAGCTGCAGCTGTGAAAGATTACTACCCCACTGTCAGAGCTGGAGATGAAGTCACTTTGCCTTTTGACAATGTGATAGATGATCAGGATGAGTGTGAGAGTGCTACCTGGTTCTTCATTGATTCAAGAAGCCCAGCAGCAGTGAGGCTGTTTGAAGACGGACAGATTCACAAAGAAGCCAAAGCTAAATCAGACAGACTGAGAGTTACAGAGAATTGTTCTCTGGTTATAAAGAAGGTCACAGAGGAGGATGCTGGAGGTTACATCTGCAGACAGTTCAGATCAGGAGAACAACAAGGTCCAGCCTCTTGGGTTTATCTGTCTGTTGTTACCAGTGAGTATTTACATCATAATGTTTTAAACTGTCTCTATAGAGCAATATACTAAATCATTACAATAATTATGATTACAGTGATGAAGTTAATGTTACTCTGTTGTCTTTCTCTCACAATATCTCCATCTTCAGTGACTGAACATCAGGACAATGATGAGGTGACGTTACACTGCTCTGTGTCGACATATGGACGGTGTGATCACACAGTGAAGTGGCTGCTTCAGGGTCGAGATGTGGATAAAGATCACAGAGAGATAAACACATCACAGTCTTCCTGCTCTGCCTCTGTGACATTTCTGACTTCTCTCTTTAGTTACACAACAAGGTCTGAGTTGTTTACTTGTGAAGTAACTTATCGTTCCAACGTGTGGACCTTCAGCGCTCAGTCCTCAGGTGAGAACATGATGATCTGTTTAAAATCACTTCTTACTATTCTAAAAAGAAAGTACTTCAATATTTGTTTATTTTATGGACGTTTAAAATTGAATAGTTTGTTAAAAAAATGCCATCTGTTTAGGTGAGGACAAAAAACCAGCAACAACTAATCGACCACCACCAACAACAACAACAGCAACAACAACAGCAACAACAACAACCGCAGCAGCTAAAAACAACTTAAACTCAGGTAAGGTTAACTTGATTGACTTGTAAAGTGTTTGATGGTCACAGAACCTCAGCTGTTTCTCTTCAGTCCTCAGGTGAGAACATGATGATCTGTTTAAAATCATTCATCCTGATGCGTCACATCTTTATGTCGTGATGTGAGATGATTACATTTGTTTGTATAACTGTACAGCTTGTTGTTATTTCATTCATTAAGGTGAGGATGCAGGGAAGGTGACTGCAGTGTCAACAACATGGCCAACAGTGAGAATGAGAGCAGCCGGAGAGATGACCAACACATCTGAAGACAATCACACAGAACCAGAGGACAACAACAAAGGTAGAGAGAGAACAGAACATATACATTCACAGTTAGAGAAGACATGCACACATGCAGTATATACACACCTGGATGTACTGGAAGAGGATCAGAGGCCTGTACTACGAAGCTGGTTCAACCTAACCTGGATATGTTGGAGTTAGCCGGTTGGCCCAATCCAAAACATACGCGCTCTGGCTAAACTGTACTACGACGCTGGTTATCAAGTGGATCGCTCAAGCCAGCCGTGTCCTATCTAGTTAGGTGCGCGTTCACATGAAAGGGGTGGTATTTGGAGCATTCGACCAATCTCAAACACGGACAAGCGTACTGACAGCGCAGCGTCATACTTCCTGAATGAAAAGTGAACTTTAATATTAGTCAAATATGAAGAAGTTCAACTTTAAACATCCATGACTTAAACACTTTACCCAGGATCAAAGCCACATAGCTGCACCTGCAAGGTGAATACAGCTGGTAAAAGAAAAAGTGTTTGAATGCGTACATTAACAGGTTTATGAAATCACTGCCCCGTCCAAGACACGATCTGACTTTAATTACATTTGACTCGAGTGTTTCGTCAACTTAATGTGTTGCTTAAAATAATACTTCTGCATCCAGTATGTGACACTGTGAGTGTTGCACGGCCAGATACGGCTCAAGAAGCTGACTCAGATAAGGAAATATATGATACATTATGATGTGATATGATATGAATGATAATGGGACACATCGACGTCTGCACTCACAGTGCCGCGGACTGTACTAGTTACTCTGATCCGGTTACTTATGTCGTGGCAGATATTTAAGTAAGCTTTCTTAACGCTGATGTTATAATAGTCAGATTGCTCTGAAGATGGGAGGGGATATTCTATTAATTTTCACGTTCACACAGTCAGTTGATTTTGGCCGGCTGTCTTTCCTGCAACGGCAGTTTTTCTGTATTTCCTCTATCCTGTAATATGAATTGATCGCTTTAAACTCCGCACACGGAGCTCTGATTGGTCAGCAGGCGGTGCTTTCACTGAGTTGATCTCTTAGCCTGCAACCTAACCTCCTCCCGAGGAGGTTAGCCGCTCAGCATAAGTTACCATGGAGATCTAGCCCGCTAAAAAGAGAACCAGCGTCGGAAAGCCCGGGTTTTCCCTGAAGTTAGCCGGCTAAGCGAAAATCCGGCTTCGTAGTACAGGCCTCAGAAGTGGACTCAGATACAACATAGTTTATAAAGGTAACATCTTATGTAGAAAAGAAGAACTGTGTGGATTATAAATAAGTTGTGTTTGTATCTGTATGTTCTGTACGTGTCCCTGTGTGAAGGTGACGAGGAAGCATCAAACAGCCAAGAGACATTTTGTTCATTCACATTTTAGAGACTGTATTTAACTCTTCTAACTTCTCTCTCCAGGTCGCTTGAGGCTCATCATGGTGTCTGTGGGTTTAGCGGCTCTCATCATCACCGTGGTTACAGTCAACATATGGACAAGAGCTAAAGGTGAGATCATTCACAGGTCAAATGAAAACAATACAAATAAAGGTGAAATCTAATATCAACTTGTTGTGTCCTTTTTTCAGGGAGCAAAGCACAGACGGAAGAAAACATGGTGAGTTTGAACATTGAATAATTAAATGTGTTTATTATTTGCTATCCAATGGTAACAGTGGATATATGACAGGCATGAGAAGATGCAACACAAGATTAATTTAGAATATTTATGTATCCAAATTAAATGATCTCAGAAAAGCAAAACAGTTCATTTAGCAAAGTAACAAAAAACAGCAACAGAATGTAATAAATGTTCATTAAGGATGCTTCAAAGTGACCATGTAGCTGAATCAACAGCTCTTTATAATGCCCTGAGGAACCCCACATGTCATATTGGTCCACTCAGATGTGTAGTTACCTATAGGAACTAAGTGTTTCCTGTCCTTTAAGTAGGATTCAACCCAATTTAGAACTGTTGCTGAAAGTCCAATCCAGTGTTCCAGTCGGTCTAGAAATATGTTGTGGAAAATAAACAGAAAACAGGAAAAACACAGACAGAAGTTACGTCCTTAAAATATGTACTTAAGAGCAGAACCTGAGTAAATGTACTTAGTTACTTTCCAGCTCTGCTCTGTGTTTTCACCATGTCTCTGTTCCATGCTGACAGGAGCAGAATGATGAAGATGAAGATGAAGATGAGGTGAACTATGAAAACGATAGAGGGGCTTCTGCCTCTGTGTGACTGATCAACAACATCAACTCCCCTCAGAGTCCATGCTGTCAAACATCACCTCCTCATATTCTACAGGAGAAAACAGGAGAACCATGAGATCATTGGAACATTTCTGATGACTGAGAACACCTGAGCAGTGTTCATTTTGGCAGCTATTTTTGATTTAGTCTTTAGACGAAAATGGTTATTAGTTTTAGTCACATTTTAGTCCTTTTTATCCTTCATAGTTTTAGTCCAGTTTTAGTCGATGAAAAATCATTACATTTTAGTCAACTTTTAGTCAAAATGTTTTCTCTCTTTAAACTAATTCAGTTAAACACAGGTATCTGAAACTGGAATCAAGGTGACAGCATCAAGTGTTGAAATTCGTAAAGCAACATTTCACTCTCTTAACGCTTTACTTTTAACGGTACTACTACTAAATCTGTGTGCGTGTCTGTTAGGCCCCGCCCCCCGCACACAGAGAGAGAGAGTTAGGCCCCGCCCCCCGCACGTAGAGAGAGAGAGAGAGTTAGGCCCCGCCCCCCGCACACAGAGAGAGAGAGTTAGGCCCTGCCCCGCATACAGACGGCACACTTCAGAAACTCACCTCCATAAGATAGGAAACATAGCTTATTATATTCATTCATTTCTGATTTAACATCCTTTAAGTATGCTCTCACATTCCCATACATAGTTATATATCTGATCTATAGTCTACAGTCTCTGTATATAACATCTCAATATTAGCAGTACTTGTACTCACACCTTATAACTTCACTTCTCACTGTAACTGCTGCACATGTTCAAACATACGAGTGTTGGGTTGAATTAATAAAATATTTAAATTGTAAAATGATCCATCAAATGTTTTTGTTAATTGTGTTCTCTAGGGAAATCATTCACCCTAGTGTCGATTTAATAACTTTAATAAATGCTTTTATCTCGTTTTTCAATTAATGATTCATATAATGTCTTATAATTAGCATAGCGTGTACTTATACCTACAGTATATATACCTGTACTGCCTACTGTAGCTGCTGCACATGCTGTATATATCTGATCAATAGTCTATACAATATATTTACTATACTCTCTTTGTACTCTATATGTATTCCTAAAGCTGAAAGGCCTCCAGTATCTTAGGATGTTTTAATTAGCTTAAGTCCTAATGGAATATGTTACTACTTTTTTTACTACGGCTTTAATGATATATAATCCAAATAAAAAGAGTGCTTTTAATCAATGTTATAATGAGTTGTGTTTCTCTCTCTATCTCCAACACACTGACAACACAACGCTTTGTTGGGTTGAACACCTCTCTTTGCCCTGGCTCTCACTTTGTAAACAACATACAGTTTGTGTCAGAGCCAAGGAAGGTGTTGCACATTTAGTGGAGCTGTGGTGATATCCTGGGATCAGGTATGAGGCAACAAAGAAAGTGATACAGTTTGATTTGACTTACGTACTCTTCAGCGTTCCTGGAGAGTGCATCAGAGCGTCATAGAGGAAGCTCTAAGAATGGCACATGGAGAAGAGGCTAAAGAACCTGGCTAGGTGGCTATAGACCTTTTCAAATCCCCTGATCAACATCCTGTCAGCTTTCAGTTTGGTCCTCCGGTTCAGTCAGCGCTTCATCTGTTGAGCAGAAGCACATTTTGCCAGTTGTGTGCTGTTGAATGACGTGTGCGATTATTTGTGTGTTAGTGTGTGTGTTTCTTAAAGTGTGTGAGTGATTCTACAATTTAGGGTACATTCCATGTCCATTGATGTCCATTGATGATAATTATAATTATTCTAACTATTTTCTTCAAAAATATCATATTTTGCCTATTATTGGAAAGCATGTTATAATATCACACAAACATTATGTGCATCCTATGCTTTATTTAGCTTGAAATGTGTCATGATGTTCTTAAATTGTCAGTTTTTGCTATGTCCGTTTTTCAGTTGAGGGTGTCTTGGATTCAAAATAATGAATAAAAACCATTAAAGTAAATTAAAAAAAGTATTCATTTATTTCAAAAGTCTAAATACTAAAGAATAATAACATATTTTTAATTGATTTCCCCCTTTAAATAATTTAAATATCTTAATATATGAATGTCCGCAAAAGTTCTGTCAACTATGTTACTAACAGAACTTCCCCCTTTAACTCAAAAATTGTTTGTCCCAATACCATGTCACCAGCATCACATGATGCCATGTTCCTCTTTGGCAGACATTTTGAACACACTGTGGTGATTGTCCTCTAAATTTTTACAATATTTTATGTATAATAGCACATGGTCAATTAATATACTCATTGACAATCAACAATGTTACGTACATTGTTATGGTTTACAATTGTTTAATGATTTTAATTCAATTATATGTTCAAATGTGATGTTAACCTGTTCAAGAAAATGACATGTGGTCATCCAGGCAAGGCCTACCATTGAAATGATGGGTCAAAATAGGGAAATTGTCAACTAAGTTACCTGTCAACTGAGTTACCCAGTACTGTAATAACTGTAGTAACTTAGTTGACAGGTAACCTAGTTGACAATTTGTACGACATGTAGACGTCATTACACATCATTATCAATGGAATTTTGCACTTCTGCCTTGAAATTAACATAGTGCTGATGGTTAATAATGTGTCCAGTCAACTATGTTATTTGCGTCAAATGTTTGACTTTCATTGTCAACTATGTTGCACCTCATTTTTTCAAATTTAAAATATCTAAAATAGTGCTTCTGATATCCTTTATAGTATAATGTATATCTACACAGGTTGGAGTTTTACATGACATCTCTTAAAACTATCAAAATGACCTGTATGGTAGTTTTATAATACAAAATATCCCTAAACTTAATGACAGTGCTGAACATATCACATGAAAAAACAAAACTTTAATACAATTATTTTTTAAACTTTAAAAAATCTTTGGATATATGGTAGAATAGACTCAAGAGCCTTTCAAATTTGATTTTACTTGAAGTGCAGGACTTAATCAAATGATTGTAATGACATCAAGTTTGTCCGTAACATAGTTGACAAACTGAGTAGTGAAAACATCCTTTCCCTTAAAATAAAAAAAAAAATAAAAATGTTTAAGCTTTGCAACTAGTGGATATGTTACACTGAAGAATATACTAACTTGAACCACTGATTTCTATTGAGAAAGAACACTTTCTTTGTACTGTTTTGTTGATGTGAAATGCACCCTAAATTATAGAATCAGTCGTGTGTGTGTTAATACACTGCAGCTCGACAGCACCACCCTCAGGTTTGTGTGTTTCTTTTTTTTACGATCAAATCTTTTACTTTTGGTTTGTCACATGGAGGAAGATTTTATATTCTATATATTAAAGAAAATCAAAACAGACCTTCCTGCTGTCGAGTTTTCATCAGTAACGTGGGTTAAGATCAACTTTACTGCACAATCAACACTTTTATTTTAAATAAATGTTGCTTACATTTTATATTTTCACTTCAGTATGTTTTATTTTCAGGACTTTTAATAGTATTATCTTTTATTATAAAATCTGTTCTGTAATTATTCATATTATTTATTTACACCTCTGTTTCCTGCTGTATTTCCACTCCAGACCTCTAGGGGGCGATACACTCTTAAAGAACCTGACTGTACCTGTAATGCACCTGAGTTTACAGATGCAGGGATACAAGATAAAAGACTGCATATTAAGAACACCTGATGCTGCAATTCCTCTTCATCACACCACGTGACCTCCTCCTCTTCTTCAGGTGAGTGTTTGTCTAAATGCTAAAGATTCAAAGGCTTTACTGTAGATGCACATCACAACAAACAGCACACTTAAAGGAGAGGTGTCATGGCCATTTCCACTGATCATAATTCCATTGTTGAGGTCTACTAGAATAGATTTATACTGTGCATTTTTCCAAACTCACATTGGTTTCTCAAACAGCATCTCTGTAAACTACGTGTATTCACTGAATTTCACTCTCTGCCTTTAACGGCTCGTTGTAGCTCCAATAGCTCCAGCCCCCACCCTCCCTGTGAGCACAGTGTGCTCTGATTGGTCGGGATGTTGTGAATCGCGCTGAGCTCCGTGGAGGTGTTGTTTCCTTGTTTAGGATACATAGCGAAACACAGCCAAACTCATCCTGAGCACACACAAAGTCACAGCCGAAGTAAAAACAATAAGTGTGGCTTGATATTGAGTAAGAAAAAGGTTGATAAACGCTGTGAGAATGGGTCTGCAGAGAGAATGGGTCTGCAGAGAGAATGGGTCTGCAGAGAGAATGGGTCTGCACAGAGAATGGGTCTGCAGAGAGAATGGGTCTGCACAGAGAATGGGTCTGCAGAGAGAATGGGTCAGCAGAGAGAATGGGTCTGCAGAGAGAATGGGTCTGCACAGAGAATGGGTCTGCAGAGAGAATGGGTCAGCAGAGAGAATGGGTCTGCAGAGAGAATGGGTCTGCACAGAGAATGGGTCTGCACAGAGAATGGGTCTGCACAGAGAATGGGTCCGCAGAGAGAATGGGTCTGCACAGAGAATGGGTCTGCAGAGAGAATGGGTCTGCACAGAGAATGGGTCTGCAGAGAGAATGGGTCAGCAGAGAGAATGGGTCTGCAGAGAGAATGGGTCTGCAGAGAGAATGGGTCTGCAGAGAGAATGGGTCTGCAGAGAGAATGGGTCTGCAGAGAGAATGGGTCAGCAGAGAGAATGGGTCCGCAGAGAGAATGGGTCAGCAGAGAGAATGGGTCTGCAGAGAGAATGGGTCTGCAGAGAGAATGGGTCCGCAGAGAGAATGGGTCTGCAGAGAGAATTTCGCCGCGATCCCAACTGTCTGTTATCAGCCTGCAGCCAGGGAGGAGAAATCAGCTGAGCTGCCTGCTCCCTGCACACAGATGTGTGTGTGAGGAAGTCCGTGGATTGGTCAATTTGGACCAATCAGCGGGGGCTTAACGTAACGGCTCCGCGGACGTAACGTAACGGCTCCACGGATTGGTCCATTTCGTTCCGGGTACGGCTTGACATCATGCCGTACCCGGAAGAATCAAATGGACAATGACGTATCTCCAACGAGGCGTTTTGGGGAGGTATTTTCTGTGTTAGAGTTTTACTCGCTACAGGGTGTACTTTGAGGGTTTTGACTCTGCAGACCGTTTACATGCATAAAAACCTTCATAACACACAAGGGGATGGGTAATAACCGGAAAAGCATGACACCTCTCCTTTAAGACATAATAAGTGATAAAGAATTGAAATAAGTAAATAAAATAGTGCCTTAAAGTGAAATCCTATGGTGCAGGTAAAGATATTCAGCAGAAATACTGTTTACTTTAATAAATAAGTGCACTGTAAACAATGATGTTAGGGTTTACAAAGTCTCAATTATCTACTTCCTATGTGCCATAGAGCTCCACATGTTCTCCTGAAACTATTAAA